ATTTCCGACTGACTTCTTTAGCGCATCAGTGTGAGTTTTTAGGCTGTGTTCTTCCTGCTCTTCTTTTGTAGTTCTGACAGTGTCTGACACTTATCTACTGTTTGCGGAAAAAGCTCACTTGCTACTTTCAGATCCCCCCTTGGCAAATTAAAATAGCCTTGATACTGGAAGAAGCAGTGTCAATGTCGTCAGCAGCTATTTATTACCAGCCTTCTTCAACCAATAGTGAGATGTCTTCAGTGCCACATTAGGCTGAGCCTCACAGCTGCCTCACCCTTACTGTGGCCTCATGCTGAACTTTAATCATTACGAGTGACCTGGTGGAAAAACATTTTTATCCCGCTGACACAGCAGTGACCCCATCCTTGTTCTTTCTTCCGACTGCTTCTGTCATGCTCTTGCCCCAACAACACTTCTGCTTTTGGTGGAGGCCAACCCACTTCCCACATCCTGAAAATATTAAGAGGTCACAGGGGTGAGGATAAGCAGATGGTTTCTCAGAAATGAAGATACAGTAAATGCATATTTACAGCTCTTCAGATATTACTGGCTTTTACAGTCAGCTCATCAGCAGGTTCTGTAGAAAAAGCCATAATGGGAAACTGTCTGAGTCTGCAGGCAGCACTGACATTCTGCCGAGTCATTAGCTGTTTATTCATTCTTATTTTCTTGGCGCTCCTATAAGTGGCCCTAAAGGGGAAGTGGCCTATGCTTGGTGAATGGACTTGTCCCTATACTGTATGACAAACAGTTTCTTCAGAATGACAGTGGATGGCTGAAATCAGTCAAGAGTACTCCTCCTCTGTGGAATGTGATGTTCTATTCTTCCTAGGTCTGCCAAGTCTCTTCATTGCAGGGTTTTCAGTAGAGGTGCACCGCTCAATTGGCACAGATTGGAAATGGCTGGTTTTTAGCGTGATCAGCCTTGACCAGTGACCGGCAGATCACTCTGAGATATCAGAATGTGTGCTGGTCAGATTTAGAGACACAGTAGTCCACATCGAGCACATTGGCACAGACCAAAAGTGTGGCTTGTGCAGCATGTAACACTTCACATGCCCCTCGAGCCAGGCTCACACTCGTGTCTGTACCGGGTGTGTGCTCACTCATGCATAAGGAAAACTACTTCCAAATCATTTAAATCTCTGGCAAATAGTACCCAAAGAGGGGGTTACTGGCTACACATGGAATACATGTAGTATATGTACAGTGTATCCAACCCATGGTAAAACATCAAATACAAACTGTTAGGGGTGCAAGAAAATATCAATACTTGAGTATCATATTACATTTTGTGATGCTGTATCGATCCTCAAAATTACAGTATCTATTTCTAATTAATAGCTCACATGCCAAGTAGTGCTATGTTGTTGGAAGCTACAGGGACTGTGACAAATGCAAATGCAGATCCCTGTTCGGATTGCATAAAACAGTAAAGCATTTTACAGGAGAATATATGCATATAGTGGTGTGCTGCTTATTTTATGACAGTTTTTCTAATATGAGATAAAAAAAAAAAAATCACAATATCACCTTGTTTACAGTATTACAATAAATGGAATTGTAACTCCTGCATTGATATGTATTATTATTTTTATCTCAATTTAATTTTTCATTAAAGTTACAAAAATGTCTGTGTCAATTACAGTTCTTAGAAGGAAAGATCATTGGAATTGGCCAAAATTGGAATCAGTGGGCCAGACTTTAAAAAAAAAAAAAAAAAAATCAGAAATCAGAATCAGGAAAAGAAAATTGCAATTGTTATAGCTTTAGTTTTCAGTTCACTCCATCATTTGGCACTCATGCTTTATATTTCTCCACACCTTGAACAAAGCACAGGAGCTTTGTGTCTTTCCTCCAGCTCTGTTGTTGTGAAGACAATCTAGCAGCAGATTGTTCTTTATGCTGTACACATTAATGATGGTGGTAATCGGTTTCATAAAGAGCGTCACAGATGATAGAGTCTAAAGATCCATTCAGTGCTTTTGTCTGTAGGAAGAAGCCAATGCTGCATTACTTTACACTTCTGCACAATGAATCAGGGATGGCCACTTGTTTACAATGTGTTCCCTTATCAGTCGCCATGTACTGATAGTGGTAAACACAAACAAAAGAACTATTAAGCAGAGCAGAAAAGGTACACAAGAGAACAGCAATTAGGTGCTAGTGTGTGAGATTGGCTTTTTTTTTCCTCCCCAGATTGGAGATGGACGGCTAGGAGCAGAGTAGATGGCAGACTTTAGACAAATCTGTGTGATAGCCTGTTTCAGTGATCTGTCTCTGAATGATAGGGTAGACAGTAGAGGTCTCACTCTGGTGAGTTATTAAGGCCATGGCAATTCCACTGACACCACACAGGGAGGGAACCATCAGCACAGCATGCAGCCCATTACCGCTCATGCCAGTATCTGTGAAGTTAACTACATTCATTATGAATTACAGTTATTTGTGTGGTTAATAATATGTTTGATCTTTCCAGTCAGATGAAATTTAAACTTTTTGATTTGCAAACCCCCTGAATGAAGGATAATTCCTTTTGAAGTAGCTGGTTATAATTTATAGGAATTATAATTACACCTAGTAATGTTATTAATTGCTAATCATTTATTAAGGCTTTACAGCTGTGTAACAAGTCAGTAATAAGAATAATTTTGGGGTTGCTAGGTTGTAAAAATATTCCGTTCTCTGCTTGCTTATTAGAACACAAGAAACCTGTGGCCGTTAATCACTGTCTAAAAATATGCAATAAGCACAACACAAAGTAATTAATCAAATGTGCTGGTTAATAAATTAGTAACTTTTCAAATACAAAAAACAAATACTTAGAACCCACTTAGAAATAGGCTATATAATAATTTCTCTTCTGTTTCTCTCAGTAGACAGAGGCTGAAATAAATGTGGTAAAACATCTTGTTTCAGTGAGGAAAGTGTTAAAATCCATACTTTGACTAATATAGATTTGAAGGCTTGTCAGTTAAAAAAAGTTAGCTGATGTAACCTTGTTCCTCTTTGTCCACTACTCTACAGCCACATTTCCATTGGACTTAAGCCATTTCATCATGTTTGATGGGCACAATCACCATATTTGCTTTACGAATAGAGCAGATCCGTCAACCTGCCAGTCATACAAGTTAGCTGATTGATTGATTTAGATGCAAGTTCTCTTTAAAGTGACAGTCTCTTTTTTCCTGTTTCTACCCATCTCTCTCTATCCATATTTTAACACTCATGGCCATTTCCCTCTATTCTCAATAGCCTTGAGCATGAGCACATGACTGACGTCAGCCTTGATGAAGGACGCAGACAGTCACTAAGTGCTAATGGCATGACAACTACAGATGAGCACACGTTGTCATCAATACCAAGCAGCGGACTTGTTACCAAAGTATAATCCTGAAAATGTCTTTTATTTTTTTGTGCTTTGATTACAGAGTGTAGCGTTCATCTTTGTGATGGAGGAGGACATCTGACCTGCTGTAATTACATTTCTTCTAAAGGCAAACCACTTAGTGTTTTTAAAGCTTTCATCACTTTGGAAATTGATTCATAAGAAGAAGAAAAAAAACACCATTACAAAACCATTTATAAAACAAGGAGTACATGAAGTTATTCTGGTAAACTTCTATGCAAGAGAAGCACTGATACACCATCTGCAGCGTGTGGGCAAACTTTAATTGAAGTAGCTATCACGATTTAAAATCCACTGCACTTATTTTTTTTTCGTCAAGTGATAAAAATAATCCTGCTCCAAAAGATTGGAGGTTCATTTTCTGGCTGTAAGTGAAAACATTAATATCTGACTGTTTGCAATGAATCGTTCATGCTTTAGCGCTGCTTGCTTTCTCACTGAATTTGCAGTCAGGAAAACTTCTTGAGGGCTGGAAATCTGTCTTTTTATGACGGGGCCTCTTATCTCTCCACTTGGCTCAAGGAGAGACTGTTGCTGTGTGGTGACACTGAGGGCCCAGCTGGGGGTAAATGACATTGCTTGAGCTGGAAAGCAGGCGCCCTCAAGTTGTCCTCTTATCAGCTCTGTGCAAGGTCCACAAGTACAGAATTTGCGCAAAAGGTGTGGGCAATGGACGATGATAGGGACGCTGACAATATCAGCAGCTGTGAGGGAGCAAAATGGCTCACTTCCATAGTGCTCTTATCTTATGATGTACAGTATGCAAGTAGGAGTAGGTTACAGGTATAACATACATATCAACCTCGTGGTTGTTCTTATGCAGTTTCAAGTTTGAAGGTGAGAAACATTAACAGAGGCTTTTGGCCATATTCCCAAACATCCTACTGATCCTTTGAGAGGTATCCTAGACTCACAGCTCTATTGGCTTTTTGTCATTATGCTGTATTGTATTCACTGCCATCATGTTGACTGAGCTCCAGACACAAAGAAAGCCTTCAGAAGAGAA